ACAATGATGTCTTGGTTCAAGTACTGATGGATGAATCTGAATCGAGATCTGTAGAGTCAGATACCCAAACCGATGCTATATTTTCAAGCTCAATGCTTTCAAGGGACAGATCGTTTTATTCGGAAAAGCCTGAAAAAAAGCGCGAGCAATACAGAAATCAGTGTTCGAAGTCTGGCAGGAAAGCGTTGTCAAAACATTGGACAGTTTTGTCGAACGGAAACGGCTTTCTGGAGAAGCTTTGGGTTACAACAATGAGATTTCAGCGCTTTTGTCCATTCCACAAGAAGTGCATGATCCCAACCTTCAGCAGCATGACGATATGTTTGATTATTATGATGTCGTCTTGGTTCACTGGACAAATGTAGCAACAAGAGAAGGCAGGGTTATCAGACTTGACCCTCACAATCGAGTAATCTATTCCGCGCCATATCTGTTTGGGAAGCAAAATCCAAGCTTGGTGTTTGATGAGTCAAAGTTTTGCAATTTGGCAACATCTATTGGTGCCCAGAATCGCAAGCAAAGAGGAAATTTGGGAAACCTTCGAGAAGCTGTATCAGACTCCATGAGTCATTTTCTGACATTTAGCAAATTTGCTTGCAATATCGCAAACAACGCTGCTTGACAATAAAATACAAAGAAGTTTTATGAACATTGTTGGTGTTTCTTATTTTGCCAATTGGAGTCAATTGGGCTGGGCATCAAGAACTTGCACCTAGCTCAGGATACTTCTGCGTCCATGGTATCATCGGCAAAGTTTCGCAAACTGAGTTGTGTTTTTTGTGGGAAGAATGTGTACACCGCTCCGCATGAAGAGACAGGAACAGGATCGGCGACACCCTCAGGAGTATCTCTACATCCAGAGAAACTTCATAGCTGCGTGTTTTGTTTTCTCCCTTGGCACAATGCTTGCGCTGATCGATGCATACAGTCAGCACCGCTTGGTTTCAAAGATGGCTGGTGGTCAACGGATCACAAACTAGCTTTTCAGTCCCTACCTGCAGAACTCAAACGTATCGCACGTTTCTTTGATGTATCTTCGGATGATGCTCCCAGCTCTTCCAAAAGGACTGAGCATGCATGTTGCTCATTCCAGTTTACTTTGAGTTCAACAGCATGTATTTGTTTTGGCATTTTGCCATGCGCAATCTCCATCAGGACGCAGCACATGCGCTCGCCATGCCCTTTGTGTGCCAGCTTAATTTCATCTCTGTCAGAGGAGGATACTAATGCCAAAACCAACAGTGGAATGCAAATCTGCTCATGGCATTAAGCTTAACAATCTAAACATATCAAGCCTTAATTACACGGACATGTTGATACTTATGCGGCATTGGCAGGACAGTGCGTTTGCAGCATCTTCAAGAGATCCAGCTGCAGCAGAATCAACAGTCTACATCTTAGATTGTGATTTGATTTGTACTGATGACATCAATTTCGAATCGAAGTATTTATATTGAAATCCTGTTTGTATAAGGATGGATTTCAATCACAGTCCCTTCAAGAGGGAAACGTGGAGGTCGGCTGAAGTGAGTCTCAGCAATGTTTAATTCCAGTAACACTTTGTTTGTCTGCCAACAAATGCTATTTTATTTGATACATTCATTTGTCTCGCAGGAATCTTCAGAAGTTCGTGGCTCAGGAAAGGTATAGGATGCTGGAAATATGTGATCGCTGAGCATGCCAAAGAATCACACCCAAGATTGTTAAGATTTGTGAAGATCATGATTGCTCTTAGGTGATGACGGGATGAAATCGTTTGTGCCAATACTGATCCAATACAGTGCATGAGGCGGTTTCAAGCAGTGATGAATATGAACATGCATGTGTGGTGGAATCTGATAGCTGTTTCAGAAATTGATCACCAATCAAACGACCAAAGTGGTTTGTTGATCATGCTCTACAGTGTGAAGTTGTTTTAGTCGCGCAGGTGTTTCCAAACTGGAAGCAACACGACATTTTGTGAGGTTCCGTCTGGATCTCAAAGGCTCTCATTCAATCCATTCTGAACACATGTAGGGTTTCCTGAGTTTGATATCAAGATGCAGTTTGTTATAAACATATTGAATTTTACGAAAATGAAAAAATAAAAATATATTCCTAGAAAGTATCGACAGCACCTGTCCACACATGACTTGCGCAGACAGCCCCTGTCCACATACATCCAAACTGCAGACATACATAGGCCCTGTCCACACATGGCTTGCGCGGACATCCCCTGTCCACATCCATCCAAACTGCAGACAGCTGCAGTCCACACATTCCCAGCAAGTGTAAACGGCCGTGTCCACACATGACTTGCGCGGACAGCCCATGTCCACACCAATCCAAGCTGCAGACAGCCCCAGTCCACACCTTCCCAGCAAGTGTAGACGGCCCCTGTCCACACATGTCTTGCGCGGACAGCCCCTGTCCACACCACTCCAAACTGCAGACAGACCCAGCCCACACCTTCGCAGCAAGTGTAGACGGCCCCTGTCCACATATGACTTGCGCGGACAGCCCCTGTCCACACCCATCCAAAGTGCAGACAGACCCAGCACACACATTCCCAGCAAGTGTCGACGGCCCCTGTCCACACATATGACGTGCGCGGACAGCCCCTGTCCACACCCATCCAAACTGCAGACAGCCCCAGTCCACACCTTCCCAGCAAGTGTGGACGGCCCCTGTCCACGCATGACGTGCGCAGACAACCACTGTCCACACCCATCCAAACTGCAGACAGCCCCAGACCACACATTCCCAGCAAATGTAGACAGCCCCTGTCCACATATGACTTGTGCGGACAGCCCCTGTCCACACCCATACAAACTGCAGACAGTCCCAGTCCACCCCTTCCCAGCAAGTGTAGACTGCTCCTGTCCACACATGACTTGCGCGGACAGCCCCTGTCCACACCCATCCAAACTGCAAACAGACCCAGCCCACACCTTCCCAGCAAGTGTGGACGGCCCCTGTCCACACATGACGTGTGCGGACAGCCCCTGTCCGCACCCATCCAAACTGTATAGACATCTCCCACCTTCCCAGCAAGTGTGGACGGCCCCTGTCCACGCATGACGTGCGCGGACAACCACTGTCCACACCCATCCAAATTGCAGACAGCACCAGTCCACACATTCCCAGCAAGTGTAGACAGCCACTGTCCACACATGACTTGCGCGGACAGCTCCTGTCCACACCCATCCAAACTGCAGACAGCCCCAGTCCACACCTTCCCAGCAAGTGTAGACTGCCCCTGTCCACACATGACTTGCGCGGACAGCCCCTGTCCAAACCCATCCAAAATGCAGACACACCGGCCCACAACAGCTTCAGCCCACAACCTTGTTAAAAAACGTCAACAGCCACTGTTCACAATGTCATTAAGTGTCGACGGATAAACTGCACATATGGCTTGACCAAACGGACCTTGTGTACACATCGCAACTTCAAACAGCATTAGTTTATAAATCACTTTTTATATTTATACATATGTATGTATTTAGTACATATTTTATTTTATACATATACATTACACATATATATATAACATATATATAATAAATAACTATATATATATATCACATACAATGACTGAAACATGCATTTGAATTTTCAGCTTGTCACTGATGCTGCTTCGGATACCATGTTGTGGCCGTACTTGCAGCTTTTTGTGTCAAGAATACTGACGAGCAATTCAAATGCCGAGACAACTCGGCACACCGAAGGCCAAACCAAAAGGTTTGGGCAATGGGAAACTTAAACAAAAAAAAGTAGCTGCTGCTAAAAAATCAGCAGCAAAGGCACAGAAGAAACAAACTGTGCTTGGCTTTCCTAGTGGGAAGAACAATGAGAATTCGGATCAGAAAGATGCAGAAGCCAGATCGGTTCCGTGTCAAGGTGATGTGACTGAAAGTAGCTCTGCTCAGCCATCCAATGTTCATCTTTCAAATGATGATCCAAAAGCAGGTACGAGTGAAAGTGGACCTTCCCAGCCTTCTCAGCCGTCCAACCTGCTTCTTTCAGAGAATGACAAGGATGAAGCTACGAGTCCATTTGCAGCTCACTTTGGTCACTTGAAGCCACTCTTGTCCGTTGGTTTTGAAGATGGTGGTAGTCAACCGGCTGCAGACAATGCGGCAATGGAGCAAGGTCAAGGTGTTGGACATTATGACACTCCTCATGGTGATCTTCCATCTCAGAGTACTGTTGATGCAGCTAAGAGTGCAGTTGAGGGCACCATTCCTCATGCAGTGCAAACGGATGAGTCAAAATCTGCTGCTTTGGCAACTGCTTTGACATCAGGTCATGTGAAAGCTGATGGAACTGAAGATGATGCTCGCGAGATCAAAGCGAAAAGGCAATGCTTGCAGTCATCACACATTGCTACAAAGGAAGAGGTAGCAACTCCACCATCTTCAAGACGTATCTCTTTGGGAAAATCATCTCCGTGGGCGTCAGCAAAGATGGAAAGAAAAAAATCTGACGAGGTTGAGATTGTAAACAACTTCGACATGGGCCACGAAGATGGTTTCCAATTTCGCAAACAGATTCTTCAGAGACTGTTCAAATGGTCATGGCATTGCATTCACGTTTTGGTGAAGTTTTTGTGTCATCCTGGATTGAACAGTCCCGACTCAAACCGCAACCAGAAGCATCTCAAGGTTGTTCACAATGTTACAGAAATGTGCTCAAAGTATCCAGCTGTGAATGACGGTTCGTGCTCCAGTGACACCAGTGACATCAGTGCATTCCCAGTTTCCTTCAACGAGGAGGAGATGCGTTGCATTCATCAAATTCGTGAAGATTTGCTTTCTTGCTCAATAAGCACATGCTTCTCTGGGCTTGATTCCCCTGCAACTGCATACATGCAGCTGTTGTGGGGGGTTCAAAAAGCTTTGGGTTGTAGCCCAGATGATTTTCCGACAGCCAAGAACAAGTTTGCGGTGGAGATTGACCAACAAGCACGAGAAGAATGTTTGAATCATCCTCACGAACCAGAACATGTGTTTGGTGACATGTGCGATTTCTTTACACCTTCTGTGAGAGATCGGCTACCAGCTATCATCAAGAACGGTCAGGTTCAAGAATTGCTGGTTCCACTTGTACGATCGGGAAATGCAGCAGTTGACCATGCTTACTGCTACAAGCACGGGAAGCAATGCAAAGTTTCTTGTCTGTCTTCCTATGATTTTTCGATCAGTTTAAAAAATTGTTTGTCCTCAACCATTACCAATACTACACAAGAAATTGTATTGTTTTTGCTTCTGTTTTGTGTTGCAAACAATTCACAGGTTGAAGCTGCGGAAATCAACTGCGCAGGGAGTCCTTGCATTGACTACTCGCCTCGAGGATTGGTCTTGCGAGAAAGCGGTGCCACGTTCATAGCCTTCCTTGCATGGATTTCCCAGCGTCTTCTTCTGCAAGAACCAATACTGATTCATGAGAATGTTGAAGGCTTTGGAGTTTCAGAACTGAAGTCTTATCTTGGACACCTCTACGAGGTCATTACCGTGCTGATTACTCCAAAAGTTTTTGGATGGGGCTGCTCAAGGACAAGACGATATACGATAATGAGGCACATCAACAAAACTGCAGGTTGGAAAATGGACTTCTCTGTCTTTCTTCAGCTTTTCAAAGCTGATCAGTGGTTTGGGGAGTACGATGCTCAGAGTGACATTTTACCAGCTTGGGATTGTTTTTTTTGTGCATCTGCTGCGGATCTACATGATGAACTCATGTGGGCAGTCCATCGACAAGGAAGCTGTGGCCAAAAATTGACAGATGTCAACAAAAAGGACTTGGTAGAGAAACTTGAAGCGGGTGACACATCCTACTTTGTCAATGCCCTGACCGATGCTGAGTATGATTCACTTTTGCTGTATTCGGATGGAGATACTGCAGGTGACAAGGTTTACTCACTGAACCAGAATCCTGACTTCAGTGAAACAAAGAGCACTTGGAAGTGTCTGCAATGCATTACCAAAAATGCTGGAGTTATGTGGATACTTTGATTGTATTTATTGCAGTTTTTTTTGTTTCTTAGATGTATTCCTTTATCTCTTATGTATTAAAAATGAACATAATATATACAGATTACACATTCTGGAAACAATGTCAGGAGTGGCGCTCATGGACGGTGGTTGGGCGCTAAAGAGGCGCTTTTGGTGATGGGCATTCCCGTCTTCACATGGCTCAGTGATGGTTTGGAGATGACGTCTTTCACTGAGCAAAATCTTAGGAGACGAAGCAAACCCTTCGCGATAACACACATGATTGGCATGGCAGGCAATGCGATGCATACTCAGTGTGTTGGTTTGGCTTTGCTTTACGCAGCAACCCAGGTAGAGAAGATTAAGTCCAATGTTTTGTCGTGTTCATTGGCATCTTTTGCCGGAAAGATGAAAGCTTTGATGTGAACCGAAATCCAAGTGTTTGAACGCAAAAATTCGACAACTCTTGTAGAGCTTTGCAGGGATCAAACTGCTTCTTGCGCATTTTGCGCGTCCGACATGGCAGTCAAGAAAAAAGTAACTTTGTGCTCAGTGTTGACTCAATGAGTCTCTGTTGGTACCAAACGAATCAGATGCGCGTTCCAAATCGTATTTGCATTGAGCTTGCCGGGTATGACTCTTTGGGTCAGAGGATTATTTTTCTGTTTGAGTGCTTCAATGCTTCGCCGGGGCCAATGACATCGTGATTGGCCAACTTCTAGTTAAGTTTGTTTGTCCTCCTCGTTTCTTTTCGAAAGCATTTATGACTCCAACAACAACACAAACTAGTTCTGTATCCCTAACCTTTTCCACTCAAGTTTTTGCGCGAACCGCCACTTTGCCGACTGTTTCTGTCCCTGCTGTCTCCATTTGTACGTCATGGCAACGCCAATTCCCTTCACCAATGTGCACGAAAGCTTCATTTGTTCCACGGTGAGTGGTATCCATACGGTTTTGGATGAGACTCGCAAGCTCAAGCGCATTGTGAACACACTTGCTAGAACAGTGAAAGGATTGCACAAAGAAATCAGAATCTTGAAGACAAAGAATTTGAAAGACCGAGTTGACGTCAACGTCAAGGTCTCTGTATTGAAGCAACATCGTGGTCTCAAGATTCTTCGAAAAGTTTCAGTGAGGAGAAATAGATCCTCACAGTGATGATGCTGCGGACATAGTGGAGTCAGAGTGGAGCAAAATGCTTGCATTTGCAGAGTGAAAATTTCGTTGAGACAGGCCTAGCTTGTCTCCAGATACTCCAGAGTTTTGATTCAAGTTGCTTGTCATTTTCCGTACAGCTCCCCTACCAAACTATTTCTTTTGCAAGTATCACTTGACTATCATGACTTTGCAATGCATCCTTGCATGAGGCTTGTCTAAGACAGCTTTGTTCGCATTCGATGCAAAAAAACAGCGTTGAATGTCGAAGGCCGGCTGTTTGCCTTCATTCATTTGATTGCAGTGATTTGATAATTTCACATTAGGAACACTGCCATCATACAATTTGCAACATGGAGTCAGAGCAATCAAGATGATGATTTTGCCCGCAATGTTTTCTCAGCTCTGTGAGCAATACTTGGCTGCATTGCTGTTGCCGCTCCCTCGTGGTTCTTCAGCTTGCAGAGTGTTCCTTGGATCCATTTTCCTTTGATTACTCCGCAGTGATGCTATCACAAACGCACCATGCAATCAATTTTACAAGTGTATTGCTTTGTTTCAATCCAGATTGCTTTACCTTTTAAGGTCACTGAGACGCGCTGAGAAGCTTTGGGTTCGATTGCCTGGCTAAGCCATGGCAGCAGCCGAAAGCCAGAATGCTCTTTGGGGAGAGAAGTCTTTGAGTGAAAGGTTTGGTGGCCTTACTGGACGTGCTTTGCAAGATCAAATCTTCATGATTTACCAGGCCATTGGTTTTGGTTGCCCTGATTGGAGCTGCAAGTTTTTCTGATGTATACAATTTATATATGTATTGTATAGCGGTCGCACTCCTTGCGTCAGGTTCCGGAGTGCCAGAACGGCCAGTTGATAACTGTGAAGTGGTTTAATGACCACGGACTTGCAAACATCCAAAGACACCCCGTGAATGACAGAAAGCAGAATTCGATCCGACAGAAGTACGCTCGTGGCATCCTTCGCCATGGAATTCTTGAAGGATGCCGTGGAGAGCCGTGGCTATTGATGTGACTAGACTGTATGGACATGTAGATTAAGATCAGCATATCGAAACATTCTTTGCAGCTCGATTTTGCTGTAGGTTATAACAGTTACAAACTATAATGTTTGAGGCCTGCCAAAACTGGCGAGCCGTACCTGGCCTTGACGTTCGGGACCTTGCATGATCCTCAATGATACAACGCATTTGGGTTTACAAGAACGATGCGCCAAAAAAAAGAATTGATCAGTTCTTTGGTTGCTAGACATTGCAGATTTGTGAATACATTGAGGGCAGAGTCCTTCTATGACTGCGCGAAGTCCGATCCCGACAATGAGCAGGTCAAAGCCACACTCAAGAATGGATTGCGTGGTTGTAGAATCCTTCAGAACAGAACTCCACGAGATATTTTAATGCTCTATGCTCAGATACTTGAAAATTCAGATTAGACATTTACATATTGTTCAGATGTTCTTTTGCATTTGTTCCAGCTCTTTCACACAATGATGTTTGCATGAGGTTTTTGAAAGATGTGAACAATCGCTTCCACGAAGGTGGTGGAATTTCATTTCTGGAGCATGTAAGCTCCGTTGGTGAAGTGGACCAAGCGCTTTGTCAGTCATCATGTTCATTGCTGCATGATGAACTAAGTGATATGTCTTATGTTCTCGACAGACTGTTAGTTTCAAGATCATAGATCTACACCAAGGCATGGAAGAGCTATTGCGATCGAAACCGCATCACCAGTCGGAATCAAGAGTCGAACCGTGCAGCATTCAATTCATGGGTTGCATCAAGCGAGTTTTCGGATGCTTGTTTTCAATAGATATGCTTTGATTTCAAACTAAGTCTGAATGTACTTGTTTTTTTTGTGGACGGCCACCGTCCGCACCCGTTCGGGAATGCAAACATGCTTCCTCCACAATCATTGTGCCAAGTTTCTTGTGGACAGCCACCGTCCACACTACTTTGGTACTATACGTATGTTTTGTGTAAAGTCATATTGTTCAGTTTCTTGTGGACATTCACCGTCCGCAATCTTCTTCCCACTGTGGACGTTCCCCGTCCATGCCAATGTTCTTATCAGGAGAAGTACACTACTGCGATTTCCTTCAAGGTAGCCAAAGCCCTGAAGAACAAATTGGATTCGTTTTCCATTTATGATTCATGGGAATCATTTTGTGGAGATGAAGTTGATTTCCTTCACAACGATGTGCAGAAGAAGTCGCAAATCATTTTGTCCAACATCAACACTTTGGCCACCCTGGTTGAGTCACTGACTGGACAGTGTCCGAAGCTGTTGGGCATTTTGATCATGGAGTTGACGAAGCTCTGTGTGGTGTCCTCAGGTTTCACCTGCAGCCTTGATTGACACTCGAATGTTATCTCATACCCAATTTCAAAAGAAAATGTTGATTCAAGTTTTTTTTTTGACAGCTCAGGTGCCTTTGCTTCCGCAGAATGTGCCAGATGTTGCCACAAAGGGAGCTGCAAACTCTTTCGATGGAACAAGCTCGGTCCAGCGCAACCACTTGTATCATTTTGTTTCTGGCCCTGAGAGCAGCTTGATGAGTGAAGCTCGGGAAAAGCTGATGTGTCCAATTTCTGGATCAGTCTTTGTGAACAAGGTTCTGCAGAAGCAAAGGAAAAATGATTCAATGTCCGGACTTCTTGAAGGAGATGGTGATCACAAAGACAAAGATGAATCGAAAGGACGAAAACGTCCTAAAGCTCCTGATTTAGCAGACGAGCCTGAGAAAAAGGTTGCGAAAAAGGAGAAGGCGAAACCAAAAGCAAAAGGCAAGGCAAAGGCAAAAGCAAAGAATGCAGCAACGTTGGGCTTTCATGAAACTGAGGAAACACTGCAGGGAGATGTTGAAGATACCAATCTCGGAACAAGCAGACCACGTACATGGATCGATGACGTTTTGTTCGCAGTGGACAAGTGTTTTGTTTTTTGCGGAACGGACTTTGGGAAGATGATGGCAATCCCTGCCGTGTACTCAGCTGTCTCCTTCTTCATGACCGTGAGTTTGGAGTTTGCATTGTCTGGCTCAACCATGTGGAATGGACGGCCAGTCAAAGAGTGGAGCAAGCTACGACCATGTCTTCAAAGCTTTTTGCAGAAGTCCATTTTGCATGCCAAGGGTGCTCTTCCGCAGGGTGAGAAATCAGAAATCCTGTCGAAGCTTCTGACTGAAGTTTCCAAACAGGCAGAAAAGTCCATGAATGATTCGTCAAAGTCAAAGTCCTTGCTGCAGGACACAGGTGTGATGCAGAAAGTCCAAAGGTTTGTTTCGGCAAGCAAACAAACCAACATCCACCAGCAGCCTTCGTTTTCAGCGTACTTGGCCAAGCTGAAGCGAGACTGTTGCACTTGCGGGTCTCCGGATCTTGATGGAGCTGTTGAAAAGTGTAGCTTTCATACCCAGGACGGTCTTGCCATGCCAGACTTGATGTGGGGATTATCACGCGCCTTGCGTGATGAAAAAGACGATGAAGAGGAGTCCCAGTTCGAGTCTATGATCCCGATCGAAGTTCCTGTGGTGGCATTGACGGCATTGCTGATGATCCGTGAGGCAGAAGATGCCAAGAAGACTGCAACTCAGAAGGAATCAGAAGGAGATGTTGGCGAAGCTACCACCAAGGAGACCAAGGATGACAGAATTGACCTCTTGGCTGTACTGGGGAAGGACTGTCGTTTCCTTCTTTCTGAGAATGACGAGAACAAGTGGGTTCTCAACGAAGGTTTGATCAACAGAATGATTACGTGCAGCTCCTTGTACATGATCAATGCGGCCAAGTTCATGATGGAGATTCCTGGGTCCATGTCCCATGAATTGATTTCTATGGAGGATGGTGTGGACCCTACGCTTTTGTACAAGCTCTTTTCCTTTCTGCAGACCGGTGACGGGAGGAATGCAGACGTAACAGACTATTTGATGGGAATTGAAGGCCATTTCTATTTGCAAAAAGGATCTGACGAGTGCCCGGCAGACAGATCAGTTGATGCTTGGTCTACGACTTGGGCAAAGCTTCTCAAGCGAGTGGCAATTTCAACGAAGAAGCGTTTGGAGGAAGAGGTCAAGAAGGGCAGCGATGATTCCAAAGGTTCAAGCACCATTGATTTTGATGTGAAAACATTTCCATCTTCAGATTTTGCAGTGGAGAAGGAACTGAAAGGAGTTCTCCGTGGAAAGGTCCCGACAGTGAAAGAAGAAGTACCAGCACAGAAAGGGATGATGGCGCCGACAAAGGCTGTGGAACCTGATGCTGCGCAGGCTCAGGGTGCCCGCGTTTCTTCCGAAGAAGCTGCTGAAGCTCCTTCTTCTGCCGTGCTCCCTGATATTCTTGACTTTGACAAGATTTACCGGCTGGGAATGTCTGAGGCTGCCGGCGATGCTTCTTCCATTTCCGTGGACGTTCGGGACATCATCAGCATCCAGCATTCCATATCAGGCTTCATTCTGAACAATGCAACGTGAAAACCTTAGCTTGTTAATTAATGTTAACTTGTGGACAGCCACCGTCCACAGTTGCATTGTTTCTTTGTATGTGTGGACATCCACCGTCCACAGCATTCTTGAGGAAGCACTGGTTCATATAATCGTTGTAAGTATGATTTAGAATCCTGGAGTTATATGCTATTTCCTTCGCGTACATATATACTATCTTTTCACCTTGCCAATGTTTCTCATATATATATATACTGCTTGTGTGATCATGCAGATAAGGTCCAATACACCAAAGAATCTTCTCAAGATTTTGACCGTGGATTCCAAGCACTGTGTGTCGGTGAATTTTGGAGAGGTGAAGACGGATTCTGCAGGAGAGACCACTTGCTTGGCAGAGAAATGTGCAGGTGATCGACTTTTTTTCTTTGGAAATGTCACAACAGAGATGGGTGGTCCTCAGTCGCTGAAGGCTGGTCGTTTGCCGTTTGCTTATGCTATTCGGAAAAGAACATTGCGCATTTGTCAGAATATTTATGTATATAATACTTATTTTCATATATACATCGATTTATAATATATCTTGTATATTTTTCAAAATCAGAATCAATTAAGTTTTCTCTTGGTGTGCTGTTGGTTGTCAGGTGGCCTCTGTCAAATTCAACGAGAAGCTTGAGGTTAATTTCTACATGAATGGCGCTGAGCACAACAAGAGTACCTCTTTGTCCCCTTGCCCTGCATGGATGTTGAAGAATGGATTCGCCGTGGAAAAGGCATTGTTTCGAATTGAGAAAGAGATCAAGACAACCACCTTTCGGATTTCGTGCATGTCTTAGATTCAGTACTGAGTTTCATTGCTTGTTACCTTCGCAAAATCGTTTTCTTTTCTTAAGCTGCAGTCAATCTATCAAACGCTCATTTGGTTTTATTTGGAAGGCAAGGGAAGTCTCTGGAAGTTGAAGTGGCCCTTTGGTATGCTGAGCTTCGAACCGAGGCATGGTTGTTTGTGGCATGCTTCTTTGCATATATTTGCATTGCGGTAAAGTTCAATTTGATCGAAACCATGTATCGTGATTGCTTATTTTGAACATACCGCATACCGCCGGATATGGTATTTGTTTGGTAGGCAGTGGAGATTTTGATGAAGAAGGCCAAAAAGAACCGTGACCTATTCACGGATGTACTTGCAACACGATCTTGGTTTGAAAAGGAGGAACCGGCGAAAAAGAAACCGAAAAAGGATGCAGCTTCTTTGCTGATGTTGGGCGGCCGGTTGTGGGCTGCCCGGGGTTCTAGCGAAACAAAGACCGAGGCTGAAAGTTCGGATCTCCTGCACTTGACTTGCAATGCTATTCCAAAGCATTGCAGTTACTTATTAAAGTGATTTAGAAGTTTGGACCTCCAGTTGACTTGCAATGCCATTCCAAAGCGCGCTGCAACCACTTTTTGAAGTGATTTTGACGGCAGTGCGGCGCAGTGCGGCGATGGGACAATGGGTGAGAAAAAAAAACGTGCATCTACATATGTTTCGGGCATTCCCCGAAAAGGCTTGTAATTGCATCTTCCAACTTTTTGTGAGTTGATCTGTCAGGATTTGCTTGCATTTACGATCTTTCGGACATTCCCTGAAAAAGCTTGTGATTGCCTTTTTGATGCAAATTTCTGAGTTGATGCGTCATGATTTGCTTGCATCTGCGACCTTTCGGGCACTCCCCGAAAAAGCTTGTGATTGCATTTCTCCAAGCATTTGTTTTCATTTTTGGGAGGCAAGATGGCGAGATACATCCCCGGCTAGAGCATGCAAGAGTTGTTCTGCCGAAAAAGTTGCGGTGCACCTGATCGAGTGAGTGAGAGGTAAAAGTTAGTAAACTTTCAAGACTTGTACATGATTGGTGAATATCATAATTGTGTAATTCTGAAAATCTGGCATTTCCATGCGTCCTTGGCATGTGGACTGTGTGTTTCGCGTAGACCGTCCACACCCAGCTATACCTGTCCACTTTGGTGAACGGACCTTACTATTTCAGCCGCGCACAAGCCCGCTCAATTCCGTCTCAACGGAAGAGTGTGTATTTCTCAATTATGATCATGGTGCCCAACAAGCATTGCTTTGTGAGTATGTAGATTTAGGTTCTCATCCGACTTATGTCATCCTTGACTCAGGTTGCACTCGGGCCATGGGATCCCGCTTTGCCATTGATCGCCTTGTACAGGCTTGCCAACAACATCCTAAGCGTGATCACATTTGGTTTTCTAAGCAACCGTGTTCAAGTAAGTTTTCATTTGCCAATGGAGAACAATCTACTGTCAAGGAAAGATTAGTGATTCATTTTCGCAATGATCGTGCACAAACTGGTTGGATCACAACATGCGTTGACATCCTGGACAAAGGTAAGGTTCCTATCCTCTTTTCAGTTGAACAAATGAGGAATCTTCGCATGAACGTTGAGCACACTCCTGTAGGTGAGTTCATGACTTGTCCACTGTTTGGAATGCAACGCACCGCGTTGGCGGTCAGTACATCCAACCATCCAGTCCTTGACATTATGGCTCTTGCCACTTCCAGTTGGAAACCGATGTACAGCTTTCAGTCCGAAGACATCACATGCCCAGCATGCAATGGTAAACATCGACCACACACAAACAAGGAAGGTTGCAAGAGATTCAAGGGATCAGAGCCTAAGCCAGCAGAGGTGCCGAAACCGGCCAAGCCTGATTCTAAGAAGATTATCAAGAAGATAATTCAGCCTGATAGCAAGTTAGAAGTACCAGCTCAACCTTTTGATCCTGATGAAGAGCCAATGGTGGCCTCTGGGCCAAGTTCCGGTTCAAAGGACGGTATCCCAAGACGTCGGGAACCTCAGATTGAAGGAGAACCTGAAGTCAAACCGGAACCAAAGGTCGAAGTAAAACTTGAAGAGAAAAAGGAACCGTCACCTAAGGGAACTTTGTCACTAGCACTTCAGAGAATTCATGATAAGCTTCAATCACCCACAGAACTTCTCAAGTTGCATTTGAATTATCATATGACCACTGAACAATTCAAAAGAAGAACATCGGCTCTGAAGTTGCCGAAAGAAATTTACGACAAATTTGATCAGACTACCAAATCATGTGACACATGTTCCACTGCCAGGATTGCACCATCGAGAGCTAAGGTTTCAGGAATCCGAAGTGAAGTCTTTGGTGAACTTACTTTCATTGATCATGGAGAAGTTCCTGTCAATCCTCAGTCAAAACTTCAATTCCTACTTATGTATGACGGTGCAACTTCTTTGACCACTGCCTTTTTAGTTCAAAACAGATCTGATACGGTGACGATATCTCATCTTCAAGAATACTTTGAAACTTATCAGCTGAATCCAAAATACATTGTTGCCGATCAAGCTTTCATGGGCACTGAGATGGAGAGTTATTACAACCGGCACAGCATCAGGCCAATCTCTCTAGGACCAGGAACACCATGGCCAAATCGAGCTGAGGCAGCCATTCGCATGTTTAAGAAACAGGTCTCATTAATGCTAATTTCCTTGAAAGATGATCCATTGCTTGCCAACATTACTTATAAACAGTTGTTGAGACAAGCCTGCATTTCAAGGAACACCATGGTAACACTCGGTGGTGTCACTCCTATTGAATTAGCATTTGGAAGAAGACCTGCCGATCTTACGGCGATTGAGCTCATGAATCCAGCACAGCTCACGACTGAGGCCCCTGCTCCTGAGAGACAGATTGAAGCACTAAGGTCACTGGCGATGCGAAAGTTTCTAGAGGCAAAACAGTCTGATGACCTTCGAAGAGATATTGCAAGTAAACTTCAACTTAGTGATGGACCATTCTTTCCTGGAGATAAAGTTTACTATTGGACCGAAGACAAATCAAAAATCAAATCAGACGGTTCACATGGAGGAAAATGGATAAAAGGAAAGTTGGTTTCCGTAGATGGCAGCATGGTTGGAATTGACTTAGGAACCAGAATCGTGAAGGTCAACATCAGTAAAATAAGAAAAGACCATAATCCTATTGAGGATATTGACATTCCTTTAGAACCAATTGCACTTGCCAGTGCCGACTTTTCGGCCAAAGCTGCCGCCGGTGCCGAATCTTCGGCCAAGGGCGCCTGTGCAGCAGTGAAGTCCACATGCCGCTCAGATGACCATGCAAATAACATCATAGAACGCGATGCCATTCAGTCAGGTCCTGAAGGTATTCAATATGGTTGTTATACATGGGAGCCAGCTATGACCGGAAAATTAGATTTCCTTGAGCTGTTTAGCGGCTCTGCCAAGCTTAGTCAAGCGGCAGCAATGCAAGGGCTTCGAGTCGGCGCTCCAATTGACCTCCGTACAGGTTACGACTTGCTCACTGCCGAAGGCCGGCGAAAGGCAATGGAAGTCATTGAGCGACAACAGCCAAAAATTATCCACATGGCACCTGTTTGTGGACCATGGAGTCAAATGCAGAATATTAATGATCCTGCCGATACTTATCAGAAAAGGAAAAAGTATCTTCCCATGGTAGAATTTTGTGCTAGAGTCGCTCTTTATCAGATTGAACATGGTAGATTTTTCATCATTGAAAATCCTGCGACTTCCAAGATTTGGTTTACCAAACACTTTCAACGCCTTCTTATGAAGCATACCGGAACCTATGGGACATTAGATATGTGCGCCTTTGGTATGAGAGACCCAAATGGATACTATTACTACAAACCAACATCCTTACTTCACAATTTTCCTGAGGGAGTCTTGAATCCAGTTTTCAAGAGATGTAATAGTAAATCCAAAAATGATCCAAAACATTACCATCAACCATTGGAAGGTAGTGCTCCAGGATATGGATCAAGAACGAAGTTGGCACAAGTTTATCCATACCGATTCTGTAGCACTTTGATCAGATGCATCCTTCCATTAGGAAATCTAAGGGCTCTCTATCCATCGCAGCTGTCACTTGCAGTAGACCTGCTGGAAGACTTGAATCTCGATGAATGCGAGGAGTGCAAAATCAGCTTGCCGCTCTTACGGCATCCGAGC